ACCCACTGCAGCTGGACAAGAGCCTTCCAGCTGTACCATGTGGTGTGTTCACGGCAGTCCACTCAGGTGGGCCGTGTGGGGACTGGCGGGACCACTTTTCCAACAGAGAACCCCCTGCTGCCTGGCCCAAAGTTAAACACTCACTAGGGGTTTCATGATTCTAACTGGAAGCTGGCCTTGGGCACCCCAATCTAAAACTAACGCTATTAATTCCAGGTTAAGACAGGGCCTCTTTTTTTTGAGTTTATTTAAACTCGAGTGCCTCTCCCCTCCACCCAAGAAGTACACCCACCCCCTTTCTTTCCTTCACCTTCACTCACTTCATTAACTACGCAGCAGTACCTGCTTCAAAACTTTTGCACTACTGAACACAGTGGCCACTTTCCACACATCACTGAGTACATGAAATACACTTGGGACTTATTTTTAGTCAATTTAAGTCTAAACAGAAATGTCTGGCTTAGTGACTACCTTATCCAATGGCAGGGCTAGAGAAGAAAGTAATCACCGTCCGAGTGTATACCCACAGTCAGTGCAGATTCTCACACGTGTGTCATCTATAGATTTTTGCCTCCCGTTATGGAAATCCACACTAGACAGGAAGGCAAAGTAACACCAAGTTTCAGAGTTGGCCCAGGGCAACCACCCAATCTCCCCTCCCCGTCCGCTATGAGCGAGCACGTCATTTAATGGCTATAAGGGTTACTGTCCTCAGCGGCAGAATGGAAACAATAATTGCTATCCATAGAGAGCCAAGTGCCTGCAAAACCCTCCGTTCAGGACAGTGGAGTTATGTAAGGACAATTGTTCTATTTGTGCAAGAACAATTAAAATTTGCAAGAGGCTTTATACTTTCAAAAACTTAACACAAGCATTCTCTTTGGGCCCTTGCCTTACCCAGACAGGACCACTCTGCTAGTAATCCTGTTCATTTTGACGCTTAGAAAATGATTCCCAGGAAAGGTGCAGAAGTTCAAGGTCAAACAACCCATCCGCATGGTGGGCCCGGTCAAGACTTCAGGCCAAGTGGAAATAATCGGCATGCTGACATCACCAGTCAGGATGAGGACAAACTCAGGGCTTCTATTCAGCAATCTGTGGCCACCGGGCTGGTAGAAACTTTCCTAACCCCCCAGGAAGGCAGAGTCATGATGCCATCAACAGACTTCAAACACTGAGGCTGTGCTAGATAAAGTAGGACTCAGTTCACCCCAGTGCCCCACCCCTCCACGTGGTATCCAGATTCAGTCCATAACAACACTTCTAGTAGTGGTGTGAGGGTCTGGGAGGATTGGGGGTCCATGCATGAAAAGCAAAAGATGGAACTCATGGAACCCTCAATCCAAGAACAGAGCCAGCACCTGAGGATGCTGGTAGCACACACCCACTCCCATTCCCCGTGACCCCAATGGCAGCTTTGCCATGCCTTGGTATCCCCCCAGCAGCTAGTCAATACACTTTTGAATGAACACCTGTCCATCAACATAAAAAGAGAAAGTTATGTTCTTACTAAGACGACCTAGAGTACAATCAGTGATATTGATACAACTGATAAAAAGAAAACCTCCAGATTTTGAAACTTTCACCTCTGAGTGCACACACAACAAACTGATGACTTGGTCTTTCCAAACAGTACTGGCAAACTGATCTCCTCTGAGCCCATCAAGCGCGGTGGGGCGTGGAGGGAGGATGACCTCACTACACCCCAAATTCCCCATTTGGGTCCCACAGGAGTGTGCTTGACTAAAGAAAGGCTGGAGTTGCCTTTAGGAGCCATTTGAATATGTAGCCAAGAACCTAATGAACTCCAAGTTTTATTTTTTAATTAATCACCCGACTGGGTAGCTTCCCCCAAAAATATGCAGCACCTGACACAAGAACACCCTTTAAAATAAAAGCGTCATACAAACGTTTTAATATTCCATACTAAACAGTCTCCTTTTCTTCTTTTTTTAATTGTGTCTTTTCTAAGAATGAGTTGTAACCTTTTTCTAAGAGCCATTTCCTACCCCCAAGCCACCGGAGCCAGGGACCTTACAGGGCGCTCCCCTCCTCCCCCTCCCCTCCTAGAGTCCCGCCCCCTTCTCTTCCAGCATAAACCGGGGATGCATTGGTGTCAAGAGAGGAAAACATGCAGAAGTCATGTCAAGCCACACGACAAGGCAAAGCAGAACACTTGCACATGCATGTGAGGGGCGTTCTAGGTTTTGCTCCACGACACCACCAACTCAAAAAGAAACACGCCGGACCTTAACTTTGTGGAATTTCCAATGCAGTTGGCTTGGAGAACGCCAGGCCTTGCAAAGAGCCAGCCGGGCACCCCCACCCCGAGCCTGACCTCCCACTAGCAACGCACGTGAAATCCAGGCCCTATCCAGGCCCCATCCCCTCGCAGGCAGGCCTTGGGCGACCCAAAGTTTTGATAACGCGGTTATCACCAACTCCCTAAGGTGCACCCACACACTCACTCCGAGCTCCCGCACCTGCCTAAGGAAGGTGCCCCTGGGGAGCAGGGAAAGGCTGCCCACGAGAGGACACCACCCGCTCCCCCAGCCCGGGAGCAACAGGTCTACACCCTTCCCAGGCCGCGCTCTGCACACCCTCTGCCGTCCCAGGACGCTCCCTTCCACCCAGATCGCCGCCC